AACAATGTTTTTATCAAATGTATGATCTAATTTATTTCTTAATATTTGACAAGGGTAGCATGACTGGATGATATGTTGTCTTATATATTTGTTAGTGCAGAGTTTATTCTCTATTTCGATATCACCAACATATAATAAGGGAAGTACTGCAGTAATTTTAGAGTAAGAAAGGGAACACCTCATTAACATTATTATACCTGCGGGTATTGCATTAATAACAGTAAAGAATTGCTTTGGATGACAGGCAAATTCGTGTTTTAAAGTAAATGAATTGTATTACCAGTCTCATCCATTAGATCCACCACTGACCAAATATTTCTATTTACCCAGTCCTCATAAAATAGAGATTTGTTTTTGTGAAGAATGTATTTGTTATTCCATATAGGAGTATTGTGGGGTGTGCAATCTCCAGCACAATGAGGCTTGTTGGTGGAATGCTGATAGCTTCACTGGAAGTTTGGTTAAATCAAAGTCACATTTGAGAAGAAAGCGGATACCACCCAACACTGAAAAAATGTGTCGTTGGATCAGCTTTAACAAATTACGTCAACTTGTTACATGTAATCAGTTTACTTTTTCTCAACTGAAAACAATTAAGTTTGACAAAATAAAATTTATATAGTCAGCTAAAACTAAAAATTTACTTTCAACCAAATATATTTTTGCATGATTATATATCAAATTATCAGTATAAATTGATTTGGATTGACTTAAATTTTTACATACAGGTGCATCTCAATAAATTAGAATGTCGTGGAAAAGTTCATTTATTTCAGTAATTCAACTCAAATTGTGAAACTCGTGTATTAAATAAATTCAATGCACACAGACTGAAGTAGTTTAAGTCTTTGGTTCTTTTAATTGTGATGATTTTGGCTCACATTTAACAAAAACCCACCAATTCATTATCAATGATTTTAATCGGAATGACAAAAAAAGTGCACATGTAAACGTGGCTAATGAGATGTCAAGTAAATACTTACAGTGGATCTAAATATTTATAATTATTTATAGTTTTGATTAATTATTCATATTTCCCCTTTTGAGCTGTTTCGCTACACCACTCATAATGATGTTTCATAGATGTGTCACATACTGTAACAGCTCTTCTGCTTCTCATCAGGTTGAATCTGCTGTCGCTGTTGTATTTTGTCTTTTATAGCGGTCAGTATAATTTCTTCATAAAATAATTTTTTGATTTTCAGTGTCAGCTGGAGTTATTCTAGTCAATAGTTTTTCTCTTGTACCACAAATTTCCATCATCTTACATACAGTAAATAACACACACTGCCATCAGTGATTTATCTCAGCCGTTCCTTCTGGTTCATCTTTTAAGAAATGTTCAGGAATTCACTGCAACTGCACTGATATATCTGCTACAGTTTTATACTATTGTCATCAACATTTGAAAAACATTTG